TTTATGGTTTGAGTGCATTATTTGGTGGATAAGGGAGGTGAAAATCAGGCCTGAAATTAATCTTTTCTGCTTGCCCAAATTCTCCCACATAAACTGATGGGCAATATATGTTTCAAAGAACAGCAGCAGAAGCAGCAGTAGTGCTTTCGGCACGTGGTGTTGAACATTGTTCTCCAGTACACAACGAAAGGCTTCCTGAAAGCAGCGAGCTGGAGCCCACATGAGCATCCATAGAAGGAGGAAGAAGCCGCACCGCTATTGATCGGAATCAGTAGCTCTTCGTGAGTCGCTGTGGGCCATCTATGCCAAGCGCGTCACCCTCATTCCAAACAACATACAGCTCACCAGCCTCATCTGTGTTTAACACCCTAATAGCTCAACATTACTCAACCATCACGACAAAACGGTCCTTTTCAGGACCACCATAAATTTGTAAAAGAGTATTTTTTGGACATTTGTCAAGGTCATCAATCGGGTCACCATTAGGTGGGGTAAAATTTCCTCTACCCTACGGTAATGTGGGTTTGCGTGGGCGCCTTGGATTCCTAAAAATCATCGAGAGAAGTCATTGCTTACAAAAGCTGCTACGCCTAATTCCAGCTCTATCTAGATATGTTTAAATCTAACATACCATGTAATTTAAGGCCACATTGGGTGTGCAATTTCATAAACCAAAGTCGGTCGCGACATGAAAGTGGTCTGATTTTGATCAAGAGATGATGGATTTTAATTCTCAGTACGCAATCGATAGGAATTTTTTCTACGAATCTGTTAAAATTAAGACTTTATCATTAAAATAATCACCGATTTCCTGCGAAAAGCGATTTCCCTAACACGGATTTCAAGGTTGAATTCCTTCCGGTCTCACAAAACGGTGTTTATTCAATCACCGCGTTGTGAGCGGTTGTGTTCTCCAGTTCACAACGAAAGGCTGCCTGCAAGCAGCGAGCTGCAACCCACATGACCATGACATGACCACATGACCATGAGAAGGAGGAAGAAGCCGTACAGCTATTGATCGTAATCAGTAGCTCTTCGTGAGTCGGGAGTCGCTGTGGGCCAGCTATGTAAAGAGCGTCATACTAAAGAGTATAAATAGAGAGAACACTGCTCAAATTCCTATTCCTACACAAAACACGAGCTCCTGTTGCAGTTAACAAATAAGATTTATTATATAAGACCATGAAGTCCTCCGTCACCATTGCGTACAACCCCATAGAGATGTCCCTTGTAGTTTTTACTTATGATTTGAGAACTTTAATGGTAATGTTTATGGTATATATCGCGAATTGGTAATCAGTAATTTACAGGTAGCCAATTCGCGATATATTCCACATAAAGTTGATGGATGTTACAAACCCATCTATGAACCTTACCGACTTCCATATCCATTACCATTAATGTTCTCAAATCATAAATAAAATGGTTTCAATATAATTCCTTTCCCAAATATGTATGGAGAAAACAAAAAATTGGAATGGTAATGGTTCTTAACAATCCATTATTTGTAAGGTTCACTTCCAAAAAACCTTATACATAAGGTTAAAACTTTAGAAAAAAATCAGTTAAAGTTTAGCAGGGATTATACACAATTTTTAACCATTTTTGGTAAGGTCAAGTAATGGTTCGCATTTATGCGGGTAAACTCAATCTATATAACGGGTGTTCAATAAAAAATGAGAATGATTTCAATACCGTCCAGCACTCTTGTGAGACCATCGCGACTAAGTTGCGTCGTACTGCTGACCAGGGCCCCTTCTCCAATATTCATTGACGGTTTTTTGAAAAATAAACATTATGTTTTTAATAAAAAATACTAATTTCGTTGAAAAAAAAAAATAGTTTACTAGCTATATGACTGAAAAAATTTTCATTTTGTATTAAACACCCGTTACTCACGGATAGAAAATGTACCTAATATTGAGTTCCATTCACACAGGTTGACAGATCAGTGCACCATCTTAATCTGGAGTTGACGATTGAAGTTGTTTTCATTCCCTTACATGTAAACATACTACTTAATTGTAAATTGTTTTAACACAACGTCAAACTTCAAACTACTCAGTATTAAGTTATACACCATTTACTCAACGTTAATTTGGCGCACGGAAGACTCCTGTAAGGTTGTTTTGCTCTTTTTGTTTTTGGCAATAAACGTGAGATCGAATGATAGGCACCAACTCAATGGTAAATTTAAAGAACTCAACCGTTGTTGGGTTGTTTTGCTTAGCCGTGTATGTCTTATCGAACCTTAGCTTGTACAAGCTAATAATAAATAGGTCTGTTCCCGTCATAAGTATGGACTCGCGTAGAAAAGTATCGCAACTCTCATTTGAATATTGCATCACCTTGAAAAGTTTAGCTGGGGCCTCCCTTAGCTCAGTCGGTAAAGGCGCAGCTAAAAAGCAAGACCATGCTGGAGGTGGCTGGGTTCAATTCCCCGGTCCGGTCTAGGAATTTTTCGGGATGGAAAATATCTCGACTTCCCTGGGCATAGAAGTATGATTGTACTTCTTTTTTTTTTCCTTTGGTTTGTTTTTCCGTCGATCTTGTTTTCCGTGCTGAGCACCAATGCTACCGACGTGCCAGGAAGGCTGCTCCCACACCTGGACCCTACCTATCGACCTATCAACTAATGAACCGGGGACCAACGGCTTTACTTCCCATCCGAAGGAAGGCGTGATCAGAGATGTTATGCCTCAGAACATCCCGGCGGCGCCAACTGGGATTGAACCCAGATCTGCTGGGGTGAGAGGTAATTACGCTTACCACTACACCACCGGCGCCGTTATGATTGTACTTGCCACACAATTATACCAATGCATAAATGGTACAGGCATCGAAAGCTCTCAATGGAAGTGCATCTAGAACACTAAGTTGAGAGCACACAATAAGCTAATATGCGATATGCAATAAGCTTGGTATGCGAAGAAGAAGAAGAAGAAAAGTTTAGCATCACTCAAAGAAATTGGGTCAAAGTGTTTTGAATTACTTTAGAAAGCACTGACTCACTTCAAAACTGTATCACTTGAGAATGCTTCGGAATTACTTCAAAAAGTACCATTACAGCTTGAAACCACTTCGGAAAGAACAGAATCACTTAAGAAAATAATGGAATCCCTCGGAAAGTAGTTACTCACTTCAGACATGCTCGGGATCATTTCGGAAAATACTAAATCATTTCTTAAAAATTCGGGATCAACTGCATCGCTTCATAAAAGGGCAGTTACTTTGAGAAGCACTGAATAATTTATAAAAAATTCGAAATCACTTAAAAAGGTACTGAATCACTTCACATTGAACTCACTTCAGAAGGTGCTGAATCACTTCAGAAATATTTTCAATCACTTCGGAAAGTACTGAATCACTTCGGGATGTATTGTTTCACTTTAGAACTGTTCGGAATTATTTCTGAACTTACTGAATCGATTCAGAGCAGTTTGGAATCACTTTAGAACTGTTAGGAACCACTTCACAAAGTACTGAATAACTTCAGAGAAGATCAGAATTACTTCAGAAAAAAATTAAATCACTTTGGGAAGCACTGAATCATTAAAGAAAATTTGTTTTCATTTCCGCAAGAACTGAATCACTTCTAAAATACCTAATTGAATCAATTATGAATCACTTCTGAAATGTTCGGAATCACTTAGGGAAATACTGAATAACTTCATGAATGTTCGGAATCACTTCGGAAGTACTGAATCGTTTTAGAAAAGTACATGCTCACTTTGGAAAGTACTGAATCACTTCCGAAAGCACTGAATCACCACAGAATACTTTGGAATCACTTCGAAAAGAATTGAATCACTTAGTACTGCACTGAACCGTTTCAGAAATGAATTTATTTCGGAAGAACTGAATTGCTTCAAAAAAAGTCGCAATCATATAGGAAAGTACTGAATAATTTCACAAAGTACTGAATAATTTCGGAAAGTTCTGAACAAATCGTAATCATTTCAAAAAGTACTGAATCACTTCATAAAAGTTTGGGATTACTCCGGAAAGTACAGAAACATTTCAGATAGTTTGTAATCACTTCTGCAAGTACTGAATCACTTTGGAAAGAACTAAATCACTCTAGAAAAGTTTTAAATCATACCAGAAAGTATGGAATCACCTCAGAAAATTTCGCTTTCACTTTGAAAAGTACTGAATCATTCCAGAAAGTTTGTAATCATTTCCGCAAGAGCGGAATCACTTCGAAAATATTTGAATCATTTAGGGATCCACTGAATCACTTCAGAAATGTTCGGAAAAATACTGAATCTCCCCCATCCATGTGTTACGTAATATGTGCACGAATCCTTATCCGTTTGTTCACCGTGTTAATGTGTTGTACAAATAGGAATTCACTGAGTTGGTGTAGGCAACAAATATAAGGTACACCGGGGAAAGAGAGAGTGTGGAATAATTAGGATCGGCCATCTTTGAATGCTTAAGTGTGAGAGCAATACATCGGAAAACTTCATAGAGCCATGTTCCGTCATGTTCCACACTCATACAAAGAGACCTCTATTGGCCGATACTACTAGCCCCGTTTGCTGACTTGTCCCGTGTGCACCTTATTTCGGTAGCAAGCTTTTATGTTAGGTTCTGCTTTCTATGTTCATCAAAGATAGCAGCCGTTCTGTTCCTTGGCATTGAGGTGATACGATCCAGAAGCCCGGGCCCTGGTGCCACTTTGAATTTTACAGGGGTCAATTATCTGCCACCGGGAAATATACAATAACAAAACTGCTTTCTGGTGATGTAAATTTAATGGCCGAAATCACAATACTGCCCGAGATTAACTCCCTAGAAAACTCAAAGTGGCAATGCAAGTGCCTATGATTTGTGGAAACTGCATCGTATCACCTTAAATCCAAACAATGGCAGCGCGTGGGTTCAAAATAAAAGATTTTTTGTTTGGAAACTTGTAATTTATTCATTAGAAAATATTTCCACACACTAATCAATACATATAGTTGGGTAAGGTGAAGGTGGGGCAAGATGGGTGATTATATTTTTTGATTGTCAACTTCAACAGGCTCAATGTAGCCCCAATGCTGGTTTGAAAAAGCAAACCATAAATTAATAAATTTAATAGCTGACCCATCTTCCCCCTTTAATCCATCTTGTCCCATCTTGCCCTACCTATGAACCAGCAGCCATTCAGTTTATCGTGCGTGTCCTTCAATCACCCCCGTCGGAACCCCAAACGGTTGTTTCGATCCAATCGATATAACTCGACACCCTGGTGTAGATCGACGGTGATCCTAGCCCACAGGCTGCCCCAAGGGAGGTTATGCCGATTAAATGGTACGTGCAACCCTGCTGGTCCGTCACAATTTCCAACGGTCCACCGGAATCGCCCTGACAGGTATCCTGCGGACCGCGAAGGCTTCCCACACAAATCTGACTGTCGATGATACCCTGTGGCAGCTTTCGATTTGTGTTGTAGATACTGCAATTAATCTTATCGAAAATGTCCAACTGTACCTTCAGCAAGATGTCCGAAGTGCTTCCAGCTGTAATGATTCCGAATGTTTAAGTTTGCCTATGATTCATCTAATGACGTAATCTTACTGAACTCCGTTTTTCCAAAGCCGGTTGCCAATGCAGTGCTCATATTCAAGTAACTTCCTGTCCACAAGCAAGCCGGTCGCAGCATTCTCGTAAAGTAGACATCTTGTACTAATTTGACCAGAGCGATATCGTGATACGCTCGGCGAGACGAGTACTTCGGATGCTTGATAAACTGCTCCACATCGAAGTCCACCTGTTCGTCGTCGTCAATAACCAAATCAAGTTCAGCCAGTCGCACCACTGTAGGACTGCCACGACCACCACAATGGGCAGCTGTAAGCACAAATCGTTTGCTGATTAGCGACCCACCACAGTTGAATTCGATCTTTTGCGGATCACTTTCAGAGGGGTACCCGAGCAGGGCTTGATGAGGAAATTCTCCTCGTCGTGCCTCTTCACCCCCCACAATCAAATCCACCGTGTTCGGGCACTTGTAGTCATCGTACTTGATTGCCGTCGGACGAATGGATAGCGTTATCAGGGTCGATGTCTTTACCGTTAGCTTACGATATTCGTCACATTCTGCGATGGGAGAACAGATGTAAGTAATGGGATCTTTTTGCGTCATATAATCGAATACTTACTCTTTTCTGAAATTCGTTTTCCAGTTGGAAAATCGAAACCTACAATGGAAGGTTTGATTGAGATACGAAAATTTTTAAATTCTGAAGAAAATAACTTACTTGCAACTGCACTCAATCCGAGAGCGAACAGAAACACAATAATTCTCGTAGACATCTTCTTAGAGTACTACTGCTGCTCAAGGCTCAGCATGTTGTTCACTCTAAAGACTGTGGGAGATTCCCGATCGCAGGGCTACACTTACAGGTGGTTAGGCTGGTTGGGTTCATAGTGACAATGGTGTCCGTCGGAGGTCCACCCTGGATTAATGCGAGATCTGTGAGAGAGCAATGTGCGACGGACTAACCGGTTGGATTTTTGCATGGCTATTCCAATGAGCGGACATCATCACACCGCTGTTGTTGACGCTTCCCGACGATGGTGGTGGTTCTGAATGACGATTTAGCTTGGCCGGTTTTTGTTCCGCACAACATAATTCAAGCCGGACAATGCATTAAGTCCTAACGAACGTTGTCAGATTCTCTTTGCATCCCCACGGCTATGTTATAGACATTTACAGCTATTTTCAAGTTATTAACGAAAGAGACAGTCGACGAAGAGAATCGATCTATGTTACCTAGGACCTAATGCATTGTTCGGTTTGAAATGAGAAACCTGTTTTTTCGACGTGGTGCGCTACTTATGTCTGTTCGGGAGATTGTTATTTGTTATCACCATAAGTGACGTATCCCGAGTAGAAAGAAATAAGTAACCAATTTTAAATTTTAATACTGAAAATAGCAAAGCTGAAGACTGCTTTTTGCTTTTGGTTTTATGATACAAGAGATAATATATCATCAATAATTCAGATCTATGAAGTAGTAACTGAATAATATTAAAATAAGTTGTTTGGCATTGAAGGAGTTCAGTATTTCTATATCGAGAAGGCCGACCCCACCAGTGAGATAGATGAAGCAGATAAACAAAGAATAAAATATAAGTAGTCGAGCATTAGTACAAGACACGGAAGAAGTCTGCACATTGTAGACGAAATACACGTATCTGTCAGGATAAGCTAAAAAGGTAGAGGCATTAGATGGAAATTACTAATCCTTCTTTCTCTCTTTGTACAGGTATTGTACTAAGACGACCACATTAATTAGGAAAGACAAAATTTTAAAAGTGTTATAATGACTAGCTATAAAAGTGTCTGAATTAATCAGTACCGGTTGATTTTTACATAAGTCAGCATTTACTTTCCCGCAAGATAGTATCACGGTTAAAACATAAAGTGGCGTACAAGGATAAATCGGTAATTAAGCAAGATATAAGTACATTCGGTACAGTGGCAGGGCAGGAGTTAAAATTGTGTGCCGTTTAAAAGGCGAAATTGTTATCGGAAGAGGCAACCGGTGGTGTGTGATTTACACACTAAGAATTTTTTTACAGTATACCGTAGTTTTTTTTTTACTGAATATGAAACAGCTGAACATTCCGTAATATAATCGGTAATTTTTTATTTACAATTTTGTTCCATTGTGAGCTGTCGAAATTGACTGTGCATTTTGCTCAATGATCGGTAAAGATTACAATAGCGTTCGGTATCATTTTTACCGAATCGACTGTACTTAATGTTCCTGAATGAATCGGTAATATCATGATTTTTAGTGATTAATTAATTATTTCTTTCTAACAACAAATCTTAAGATTCCTTTGACTCATAAATACTTTATTATTTATAAACAAGAATTTTCATAGTGCATCCGTACATCAATAATAATCAGTAAAAACCTGGACGAGGTTATCGACCCAGCAGCGAACCGCGCACAAATTCGCTTTTTGCGATTGGGGACGGGGTTTGTGGAGGACATTAGGCCACTTAACGTGCACGGTGTCGGAAAGCAATTGGCCCAGAAATGAAAAAGAATTATATAATTAATACTGCCGGCGAAAATTGAACGGATTTGTACACATGGATCTTTTTATTTATTTTTTTATTTATTTTTTTTATAGAGCAGTGAAAATCCAGCTGGAGTAGAGCATTACAATGTACCCGAGCAGGAAAAAATAACTTATTAATACCAAATTTAGGTATGTAAATAGCATAACTGGCATCCTAAATATGGTATAAGCGAGGCTGACATAAGAGGTAAAATACCAAAAATAATAAATCAAAAATATTCTACGAATTATTGTCTAAAAACTGGGTTACAAAATGGTGAGCTGACAACCTGGAAGGAGCGGAATACCTAGCTCTGGTCCTCACAAGTTCCTACTTCACGCCTCCCCGTGTCATATGATAACAAAAGACTACCAGCTTAAACATGGACACAGCTGGTCAATGTTGCCAGTCCGGCAATATCAAAGTGAAGAGGTGCGACGTGAACACTGGCGCGGTAACCATAGTACGGTGATAGAGGAAATGCTTCACTAAACCCGAGCGTCATTTCACCATGGAGGTGCGGCTCAAAGCGCCGTCTGTAATCCATTTTAGGAGTGGCTGATCACTGTCCTAGTGCCAGCGCGGGACTCTAAACAGAGCTGTGCACGATGGTCCCCCGAAGAGACAGGAGGTTGGGACAGGCCCAACAAGTCTCCCTGAAAAAAACATATACATTGCAAATACTGAAGAAAGGAATACGTATCGGAGCAATCGACACAGACCTACGCATCGAAATAAGGACTACGATTGGAAACTCGGAACATGGAACTGCAAATCGCTCGGTAGGTTAATCTATGACGCACTTCAACCACACAACTTCGAACTCGTAGCACTGCATGAACTTTGCCGGACGGGACAAAAGGTATGGAAAAGCGGGCATCGAGTGGCTACTTTCTACCAGAGCTGTGGCACCACCAACGAGCTGGGAACCGGCTTTGTAGTGCTGGGTAAGAAGCGCCAACGCGTGATTGGTTGGCAGCCGATCAACGCGAGGATGCGCAAGTTGAGGATTAAGGGCCGTTTCTTCAACTACAGCATCATCAACGTGCACTGCCCACAGGAAGGGAGATCCGACGACGAGAAAGAAGCGTTCTATGCGCAGCTGGAGCTGGTGTACGACGGCTGTTCGCAACGGGACGTCAAAATCGTCATCGGCGACAGGAACGCTCAGGTAGGACGGGAGGCAATGTATAGACCGGCAATCGGGCCAAACAGCCTGCATGCCGTATCGAACGACAACGGCCAACGATGCGTGAACTTTGCCGCCTCTCGGGGTATGGTAGTTCGACGTACCTTTTTCCCCCGCAAGGATATCCACAAAGCCACCTGGAGATCACCTGACCAACACACAGAAAACCAAATCGATCACGTTCTAATCGACGGGAAATTCTTCTCCGACATGATCAATGTCCGCACGTACCGCAGTGCGAACATAGATTCGGACCACTACCTAGTTACAATATGCATGCGCTCAAAACTCTCGACGGTGCATAACACACGTCGAAGTCGAACGCCGCGACCCAACATTGAGCAACTACGGGACGCCGGAGTTGCCCAGGACTACGCGCAGCAGCTGGAAGTTACGCTAACCACGGAAGAGCAGCTTGGCGCAGCTACTCTTCAAGACGGCTGGAGGGACATCCATTCCTCCACAGATAGTACTGCTGCAGCGGCACTAGGTACTGCGATCCCGGACCGAAGAAATGACTGGTTTGACGGCGAATGCAAACTGTTAGTAGAGGAGAAGAATGCAGCACGGGCGAGAATGCTGCAAAACCGCACGAGATTGAATGTGGAGCGATGCAGACAAGCGCGGAACATACAAAACTCGGTTTTCCGAAGGAAGAAGCGCCAGCAGGAAGACCGAGATCGGGAGGCGATGGAAAATCTGTACCGCGTAAAGGGTGATACGGTCAAAATTTGGTCAATATCAACTTGACGTATTTCTTTCAATTTTGCATTTAAAAAACCTGAACACCCCTCATTTTGAAGGTGTGTGTGTGTAGAATGTTGCTCCTATTTTGATTTTGGAATTCACTCTTCAGTTGTCAAAATGCCGTCCAAGCAAGAAGAGCAGCGTATCAAAATTTTGCTCGCGCATCGCGAAAATCCGAGCTACTCGCACGCAAAGTTGGCAAAATCGCTAAAAGTTGCCAAATCAACCGTTACAAATGTAATTAAAGTGTTTGGGGAACGTTTGTCGACAGCCAGGAAGTCTGGATCGGGGGGAAATCGAAAACCGGAAGCCGCTGAGACGACAAAGAGAGTTGCCGGTAGTTTCAAGCGAAACCCTAATCTCTCTCTCCGAGATGCCGCAAATAAGCTGGGTGTATCGTCTACAACCGTGCATCGAGCCAAAAAACGAGCCGGACTATCGACTTACAAGAAGGTAGTGACTCCAAATCGCGATGATAAACAAAATACGACGGCCAAAGCGCGATCCCGGAGGCTGTACACGACGATGCTGACGAAGTTTGACTGCGTGGTAATGGACGACGAAACCTACGTCAAAGCCGACTACAAGCAGCTTCCGGGACAGGAGTTTTATACGGCAAAAGGAAGGGGAAAGGTAGCAGATGTTTTCAAGCACATGAAACTGTCAAAGTTCGCAAAGAAATATCTGGTTTGGCAAGCCATCTGTACCTGTGGCTTGAAAAGCAGCATTTTCATAGCTTCCGGGACTGTCAATCAAGAAATTTACGTTAAAGAGTGTTTGAATAAACGTCTGCTGCCTTTCCTGAAGAAACACGGTTGTTCCGTACTGTTTTGGCCGGATTTGGCATCTTGCCATTACGGTAAAAAGGCCATGGAGTGGTACGCCCCCAACAACGTGCAGGTGGTTCCCAAGGACAAGAACCCTCCCAACACGCCAGAGCTCCGCCCAATTGAGAAATACTGGGCTATTGTCAAGCGGAACCTAAAGAAGACCAAAAAAACTGCTAAGGGCGAGCAGCAGTTCAAGGCAAACTGGCTTTCTGCGGCGAAGAAGGTGGACAAGGTGGCTGTACAAAATCTGATGGCAGGGGTCAAGCGTAAGGCCCGGCAATTCGGATTTGGAAAAGCGGAAGCCTAACTGAATATTTTTCCTGAATTTTATACTAATTGAACTTGAAAAAGAAATTTAATTTGATTTTTTAAATAAACGATTTCACCGATTTACACGCGTTTTCCCTTGACCAAATTTTGACCGTATCACCCACGGAAGTTCTATGAGAAGCTAAATAGATCGCGCAAAGGCTACGTGCCGCAAGCCGATATGTGCAAGGACTTGGACGGTAACCTTCTCAC